TTCTATCTTAAGGCCTGCTTGGGTACAAAGTAAAGCTCAACTTTCTCATGTCATGACAGGGAGACACAGAAGTCTCAGTGTTACATCTGAAAGCATGTTGTTTGGTGGGGGATGGATGTCAACAGGGCTGAAGGATATGTGTGCTGATTGGTGGATGTGAACAGGGCTGAAGGATATGTGTGCTGATTGACCAGTGGGGAGCCAAGCTGGCTGTTTCTTTTTTTGCTTCTTCCCTTCCCCATCCTCCTCTGCTTTTTCCCCTTTTCTCGGGTGGATGTGAACAGGGCTGAAGGATATGTGTGCTGATTGACCAGTGGGGAGCCAAGCTGGCTGTTTCTTTTTTTGCTTCTTCCCTTCCCCATCCTCCTCTGCTTTTTCCCCTTTTCTCGAATTTGCTTCTTCCCTTCCCTACCCTCCTCTGCTTTTTCCCCTTTTCTCGAGGCTTCTACAGCTGAAGAACAAGGGTAAAGCATCGACAATGCCAAGGAAAGGAGGAAAGGTACTGGAAACTGGGAGTGACTGGAGAACAGAACACAGCTTCACTGGCATGCTGCATCCTTGGGTTTTGCTCGTTAGAACCTAGTATCACACCTGAGCTGGCTTGGTGGGTTTAGTTTGTTTGGATTTCTTCTGTGATACTTTTCACTAAGTCGTCCTTCTGTATTGGTGATTTTACCTGCAGCAGTTTAGGACACGTTGGCTCAGAGTTAGTAGAACCCTATGGACCAAAGCATTTCGGAATGGTCAATCACTGGACTCTGTTGCCAATTATTTATCTAAGTATCTCGACTTCCCATGGCTTGCATTGTTTTAACAACTCTCGCCCAGGCTGATGGGCAGTCTCTACAGTCCTGTTGGTGTATTAGTCTGACTCCTGAACAGCTGCTTAGGGAAGGAAAAGGTTTATGAGCATCCACGAACTCACCATCTTTAATGCAGGATTCCACAGGACTACAGACAGTGCCTTAGGTGTTGTATGTTGAGTCCTATTAAACATCTCAAAGATGCTTTCAGGCTGCTTTCTTGATGTTTAATTCATGTCAAATTTAAAGAAAACAGCTGTCAACTGGTCTTCAGTCTTCCTCTACAGATAGTGCAAATCTTTGGTAAAACTTCCATTAAAAAAAGAAAAAAATCATTACTATATTGCCTTAGTGAAATAAAAAACCAATGCCACATACGCAAGGAACACCATGACCTCATTGCATTTATGCGTAAGGAATTTAGTAGAGGATTTTAAATCATGTAGTATTTTGGATTTGAGGAGAGCCATGTGCTGGAAAGCCTGTCTATTTTATTATCTATATCAAACAGTCTCATAAAACTTGCTACCTCCTCATGCAAACATTGCCTGGTTTGTAGTGTTAGATCATGAACGCCACAGAATGACATGTCACACATGGTGGAAGTGAAAAGCTACTGAGGCTAACTTTTACAGATTGCTTGTTTAGTTGCCTCTGGTTTTAGCTTACATGAAGTAAGTCTTTGAATAAAACATGCTGATGTTAATTTCAATTTCAAATTTAGCTTAGGCATTCTAAGATCTTACGCTGAAAGAAGAAGTCCTTTGTGGGGAAAGCTTTCTGGGTCTCTAAAATTTGGTGAGGGGACCAGAATAAATGATAGAGGGCTTACACTAAAATAACAAGAAAATCAGGATTTTGCATATGTCAGAAGTCAGAACAGGATAAACTGCAGTACTTGAAAATTGTCTTTGATGAATGACAACATTTTTCAAAAATACATCAAACTCCAATGTGAGTTGCACCTTACAATTCTACTGCTTCAGTATGGCTCATGTCCTGTGATTTTTATCATCTGAATAGTATTGAAAGGATATGATTCATACAGAGAATGAACTCCAGAGGAGTTTTGATTGCATTTTCAGTACAGAATTTCCTACTTGGTCAAATTTAAATCCCCAATTTGACCTCATTGGTATACACAGTTCTTTAAGACCTTTTGCTTGAACAATCAAACTACTTAGGTTTCCTCTGTAT